TCCGCATCCCGGAAGACGACCATGCCGAAGTCTCGAGATCAGCGAAATGAGGTGTCATCTAACCGTTGCAATCTATGGATAGGGAGATTCGTGCTTCCAGCCCTCGAAACGCCACTCATTGCGGAGCGGTGAAGTTTGCCTCGCAGAGTTGGTTGGCGGGCGGCTACCTTGATCCCTGGCAGGCGCCCTTGGTCAGTCACGAACTCTTGCTTGGAGCATGAGCCCCTCGGAATATGGTTTCCTGCGTACCCAAAGCAGCGTGAAAAGGAGCCATCATGTGTGTCACCGAACACATCCTTTGCGAATCACGAAGGCGTAAGAAAGGCCTGACGCTCCAACGCCATGGCGGAGGCACAGACGCCAAGAATTTCCATGGCATGCAATTCAACTGGGCTGTGGTTGGTACCGAGAGGATACGACGGCCGTGGAACTAGAAATTCTCTTCGGGATGATCACTGAAAACGGGACTCCTGTTTATCCTTGCGACTGAAATGCCTTTGTGTAGAGAGATGCAGCGTCGTGCACCGATACGAAGAGCAGTCACGAGACTGTCGAGTGCGACAATAGCAGTGCCTGAAAGGCGGGCAAGGTCTGTGGGACCAAGGTCCTTGTATTTGTGCACCCATATCTGCCGCCGTTTAAGGCCGACGATGGTTTGGGATGCAGAGAGGTCGTGATGAGTATGTATGTTGCAGTGCATGGATGTGAGTCGTTCCGTTGGCAGTAGGAGTATACTGGCGCGCCCTTTGTTCTGCCCACTTGTCCAATCCGTTTTGGTGTTCTCTCGGTTTCGACGTCCTGTTTTGCCCTCTCGACCAATTTGTCCGCGGCTCTGAACGAGGCAACCTTCCTGATTGATTCCAATGCGTGAGAAATGACCACACTGTACGTTGTAAGAGGCATGTCGATGACGAGGACTCCCGCGGAGAAGGAAATTTGTCGAGCTGCGGCCTGGTGACAGATCTTCCAGGTAACTCATTAGCCCGTCCCAAGCTACTGGGTCGGACAAAAGCGGCGAGATCAATCCATCCACCCATCCACCCCCGCCTCCTTACGGCGACTGTGAACCCGTGGCGCTGGACGTGAAGTGGATTGATTTCGCTTGAGTTATCACCTCCAGAAGCCATGGGCTAGCATCAATATGGTGTAAAGGATAAATTTGTCGCCACGCCCTATAAGGCTGGCTGGCTTGCTGCTTATGGCGGCCACGTACACGAATCAGATTTCAGGCATGCGAAGGGTAATGCGAGGCAGGCGACTTGACGATGATGACGCGTTGGCTGGCTAGGTAGGGTGCCTGAAGTAGATGCATGAGGGGGGGACAACCCCCTTTCTCGCGGCAGGCAAGCACCAGCCTGGGCATGAGCGACCACAATTAGACAGAAGCTGACCATCTGCGATATGATTCCCACACCCTTTCATCAAGCAAGGTACCCAAAGGAAGGAAGGAAGCATAGGAAGAATTGGGGATGCCCCCGCTATTCTGGGTCGAACCTACTGGACATTGGACCAACAGCTCAGCTTGACAGGCCGTGCCTTTCCTCTCTCTCGGCACCAGACACGCCCTACCGTTGTCTCTGAGGACGTACGGTACCTAATTAGGTAGTTGCGGGACCCAACTTACAGCTCATCAGCTTCATGCTACCTATTCACTCAAACCCGCATCCTCCAAAGGAGGCTGACATGACCAGGACCTTGGGTGTTTCACCATTCGCGCCCACAACAGGGCACCCGCAAGGAGCTGGAGAGAGTTAAGGAGAGTGGTGACAGGGAATCAAAGAGACGGTCCTCCTTCTGTCTAGGCAGGTACGTGGGTGTCTACCTGGCTGGTTGTAGGGCGGCTGCCCTGGCTGGGGATTCAGTTAGGCGTTGTGGGAGGAAGGCACAACTAGCTCCGACAGGGGGGCCGGGAGCATTGAAGAGAGCAGGCAGGGACAGGGAAAGGCATGCCGGGCAGGAGCGCGAAAGCGTGCAGGTTCAGGGGGTGCGGGTTGCGAGTGGATGCGGGAGTCCTCCCAAAAGTGCCCAGTGAAGACCGGACGGGCACTAAAACTCATCGTCCGTTGAGTGGGTAGTACATCTAACTGGCCGGCATGTTCCTTGTCTAGATCCACTTAAACGCTGGCTGAGCCGTGCCGTCCGTCGCCTTCCATGTTTCTGGGAAACAGCCAGGGCTAGGAGTATCATGCCTGGCAAGACACACTTGATACCTTACGCTATTTGCCTGTTGGTCCTGACTGCCAATGGTATCAACGACATCGTGAGGTGAGGTGTCTTGAGGAAGGACAGAACCCGTGGACCAAAGAAACAGAAGGATCTACCTAGCATGGAGACGCTCCTACCTCAGGCAGCTGATCTGCTCCCCACACCTACCTACCTCATGTGGACACCACAGGTAGTCGAGCAGCTTTTCCATTGCCCTCACCAACCTCTCTCCACTCGACTTCAATCCAATCTCGACATGGCAACATCATCCCTCAGCATCCACAGCCACATCCACTACCACGTTTACGTCCATATGCGGCCAAATACATTGTTGTGGATGATCTTTAGACCAAACAAAAGATCGTTGCTGGCCTGGCGCGCCTGGAATTTCTCCAGTCAAATCGGTGGCGCCCAGACGTCTTCCTCGTCCAGCCAGGTCCATGTTCCTAGTGCACTAAGATTGACGCCCGCCGTGTGGACTTCATTGGACGGGGCCCAGACAACAGAGACACAGACCACCCGGCCCTGAACAAGGAGCATGGAACATGGACGGACGGGCCTCCCCTTGTGCCCTACTAGACGTTACGTCGCCGCCGACGCCGCCAGGCTATGGGATGACATGTTGGAGGCGATGGGTAGAAAGCAGAGGCAGTCAGGGAAGCCATCCTAGTCTCATCAAGGTGCAGACTAACGCAGGTCATCCGCAGTGGGCAGACGCAGATCCAGGCGCAGACACACACCAACGTCGACAAGCGGCGGTTGCGGCAGACAAAGCGACACGGACACCACCTTGACTAGCCTGCTCCCCCCCCCTTCTTTGCGTCCGTCCATCTTCTGGTCCCGAATCTGGCATCGCAATTATCGCGGGCAGGGAACCAGGGGTAAAACCCACAAATCTCAGCCTACTTTACCATACCTCGCCTGCTTCGCCCTAAGTGTGGGCAATTCCGTCCCTCCTCATGTCCCGTCGCCCGGCTTTTGAATCTGCTCAGTTCTACTCTACTTCGACTAAAGTTCGGTGCCTTATCCTAAGGTAATTACTTAACGTTGTCAGAACCCCCGGACGATCGAGCCGATAGCCATGCTGCCCTGCCCACCCCCGTTCCCGTTCCCGTTCCCGTCCCCAACGCCGAGTCTCGAATCGAGTCTCGAGTCAGGCCTGCCGCAGGTCACTTCGCCTTCGTCACCAACGCCAGCGCCTGCACAATCTCCAATTCTTGCTCCACGCCTGACCTTGCTTCAGCAAAATTCCGACAGCACTACACTCAGCCGCCAAAGCCTCCAATTGATCGACACAGGCCCAAATAGTCTACGCCTCAAACCCGCAGCCTCGCTCCTCGCACTAGATCATTTACTTTTGAGTGCGACTTGGGCTTCTCAGCATTGCGACAACGTCTGGCCATTCCTCGAAGATTGATCTCCATTTGTCTACCTCGGAACGGATCACTCTAGATTGCTTGAGCCACAGCCAAGTAGCATTCGGATCAACATTCGCCTGTGCCTCTCACTTTTTACGACATTGCTTCGACGCCTCGAATGGCCGTTTGGGCGGGCCAGAAAGGGTCGTGAACTCCGTCATCACCCGCGAGCGAGATATTCCCAACCTGTCAGGTAGGTGTGCCTGTCAAGCTGCTCCTCTGTGGCATGGCTACGATATCGTCCGCGCAGCACGATTGTCCTATGCCGTCACAGTCCTTCTTCGTTCTCACTCCACCCCCCTCTCGTCTCCTAGCACACCCACTCGCTGGTCGATTGGTTTTTCCCGCTTCACATGCACGGCGCAGCACAGCATGCCCCTAGTTGGCTCTGCGCTGGAGAACTTGGGACAAGTCAGCCAGTTGCCCAGGCAGTCGCCACCTTCCACGCAGGTGCAGCAGGTACTGGCTTTCGGGCCAACAACGTTGCGCTCGTCTGCTGTTCACAGCTTCTCTTTCAGCGCCTCAGTAGGCAGGCAGGATGTGCAGAGATACCCGAACGCGAACGTTTGGCCCTGCCTGGAATGTGGTCCCACGCCTCAAGGTTGTTGGCACTTTAGCGGCCTGGCCTACGACTTTGGCGTAGTCACCTGTACGGTGTCGTGTCAAATCTTGGCCCGCACAACACATCGCAAAGGAGAAACAATTCCCCGTCCTTGCTGGGCGTTCGTGTGTGAGGTTGGGACATGGTACAGGCCTAACTGTCTTTTGGGATACAAATCAGTCAAGTTACTCTGCCCGGCCCTCTGCAAACACACGCTCATCCTTGCGTCCCATGTTTTCCTGTGGTTGTCTCGATTCGTTCACTCTTTGTTCTCCTGTTTACCTGCTGGTCATCATGCCTCCGTCTACAAGGAGCGTCGTCCCGCCCCCATAAAAAGGACCTGTGCTCGTCCTCAGGAGGAGTATGTTCTACCGACATGCCTTGTCTGCAGCCTGCCAACCACCAACACCTCGCTTCTCTTACAAAACATACTTCATACGTTCTCTCTTCACCTGGAAGCCTCTGTTATTCTCCTAGCAAGACGGCCACTTGTTTCTGTTCATTGATTTTGACTCATTGCTTGGTCTTGAGCAGTCAGGCTGACCTATTCGAAAGGTATTCCATCCCACGACCACCGACGCTTATAATAAGAGCATTGTCGCATTGTCTGAGCACCTGGACTCAACCAATTGTGGCCCTTGGTCTCGCTTCTTTCATCTGCATACCACCACAGAGCTCACCTATCACCGCATTGGAGTCTCGGTTATCCAGGCACCACACCACCCATTCTCCACTGCTGGCTTAACAACAATCGCGCGTTTCGCGTGTCAGTAACCATGTCTATCAACGGGTATTACTCTCCCTCCGCCGCGCCTCCTGACTCAAAATGTAGTTATATCGCTAATCAATCGTCGGTCATCAGCAGAAATTCAGGAACGCAAGGTCATCGGGAAAATGGTCGTGTTTATGGAGAGTTTCGCCCTGGACGTTACTTATTCCCCATCGATGAGGTGAGTCAACTTGCAAACTGGGGGTTATTCGAACACCTTGCTGAAGTCGTGTATGTGCGTAGGAAGAAAAAGACAGATTTGACGTCTTTCACCGGGTTGTGTCGTTGGCTCGGCAGAATAAGCACTTCGACAACGAGGTTCCAGACCGCGCTCGAGTTCTCGATCTCGGCACGGGCACTGGCATATGGGCAATCGATGTTTCCGAGTAAGATTCTGCTTGAATATATATTTCAAGGCGACCATATCCACTGACGACACATGCAGCGCCCTCTGGAAGGGACCTGAGAACCACGGTCTCGTACATGGACTAGATCTTGCTTATATTCAGCCCGCTGAGTGAGTTCGGACAACTTGCTGCAATGGCTGAAATCTCACTGGCTGACACACTCCAGCGTACCATCTACGGTGTCTTTTATGCAGGCAGATGTAGAAGAACCCTGGCCGCTGCGCGAGAATGATTACGACTTAATACATATTCAGCTTCTGATGGGTGGGATTCGGGATTGGACGGATCTCTACCGAAAGATTTTCAGGTAAGCACTGATTCGCAACCAAGGACTATTCGATCATCTACTAAAGCACCGATTAGGCATCTGAAACCTGGAGGCTATCTGGAACATGTAGAGATCGACTGGACGTTCCGGTCTGACGACAACACACTCACCTCAGACACAGCTCTGGTGGCTTGGAGCGAAGCTGTACATCGGGCGTTACGAAACCTTTTGGCACGCCACTGGACATCAATGACAGAATCAAGGGCGACCTCCAAGCGATAGGTTTCACGGACGTTACCGAGACAATTGTCAAGCTTCCGATCAACCCCTGGGCCGACAATAAGCATGACCAAGAGTTGGGCCGATGGTTCAATCTTGCAGCCACTCATGCCGTCAACGCTATGAGCCTAGCACCACTCACCCGAGTTGAGGGTTGGCCCGTCGAACAAGTACAGAGTCTCGGAAGCGAGGTGAAGAAGAACCTCTGTAAACTTAGCATCCATGCTTACTGCCGACTGTGAGTGGCCCGTATGCAGTTACCCGCCGAGAAGTCGCAGACACGCTAATAGTCGAGCCCAGACATGTATGGACGGCCAGGAAACCGAGCCAATGATGAGGACGAAGGGGCATGGCCCAATTACCGATCCTCGGCATGTGTTGTATTTCCACCTTTCTCAGACAGCTTAAAAGCTTTCAGTCGACGGAGGGGGAGAGGCTTCATGTCATCCCGCGCTTGCAAACGCGTCGCGAGCAAGTGTCGGTGACCCTGTCGTTACCCCTTCGTCATTATAACACGTTGTCGATATTGGTGCTGGTGGCCGGAAACCGCACTACAGACCAGACGCCCCTAAACTGGACGAAAGCACAACAGCGATTGGGCCATCGAGCCTTTTCCATCCTCTGTATACTACCACTATCATCACCGCCTTTGCCACATATCATCACTTTATTCGCCAATACCTCATCGTCCTTGAAATACATCCTGGTCACCTTCGCTTCTAGGTGCGCTCTGGGAAGCGACGGAGCGCCCTACACAGTGAGGTCATCCTCCCTTTTGGCTACGACACCATTTGCTGCCTTCTAAAGCATACCGCCTGAAGGCGTCCTGCTAATTTGCGGACGACATGGAACTCTCAAATATCTGTCTGATTCACTAGGCCAGCTTGGGGCTCGACATTGGCCAGCGACTTTGCTATAGTGAAAAGGTTCGCTGTCAGACGCAACCGCGGCCTCCAGGGATCATCTGATCTCTCGACTAGATCCCGCAGCATGTGGCTGCCCGCTTTGGTTCGGGAAGTTTGCCAAGCCTCAAGCTCGTTCCGGGTAGTGGCCGTAGTCCACCTCGCCTGGCACCCGCAGTTGATGCAGCGTACAGCACAGCGCGGTACCTACCACCAAAAAGGAACGACGGTCGCAGGCATGCCTTGCGCTTTGTGTGACTGGCGCATAGGATCTGCCTTGGTTTATTGGTTTCATTATTTTTTTAGTTCTCGCGTTCAGGCAGACCATCAGAGTCCTGTTCCTTTTTCTGTAGGCCGCAAAGCGTCATGTCCAGATTTCCAGAAGCAATTGGGACCACCTAGATTTCTGCTACATTTTAGTTCTGGAGTGGGAAATCTCCCGATGCAATGATATGTGTGCATATGGAAATATTGATATCTTCCACTCATCTGGTAGGGACACTTGGAGAGCATGCGGGCGATTGGATGCTTGAAAGCAGTAGATTTTGACATGGGCAAAAAAGGTCAAGTAGAGTTTGCTTATGTTGGTGCCGTTTGCACGGCGAGCTTTCTCAATACCAATTTTGGCGCTCAATGACTGTTTCAAATCGCCAGCGACTTATCTACAACTTACGTTCGGTCATTATCAGAGATTATACCCGTCAATCCGGCAGCCTAACTATGCCTTCAGGCCCGGACTCTGATCGTATGAGAGCTTCCGGCTCCCTCAGCCCTGCCAGATGGTCTTGCCTCTTGATTTTCTTCACATATTTCTCACCATTGCATTGCCTCTTTCACGATCTGACTTGGGTAGCCGACTGTAGAGTATCAGGTCGCTTGTTGAGATGTCTTGCCACGGATGATATCACCTCGGCTATGTACCCTCGTCGTGTACTTGAACAAACGGCCAGTCAAACCAGGCAGCGTTGCTTTGACGTGTACTTGTTGCTGTACTTCCCGTACAGGTACCCTGTGCTCTCATATATAGGGGTTGCTTACGAGAATGCCCCCCTCGTCACCCTGCACGACGGCGGGTCAGAGAGACGGCTTCGCTCACACGCGCCTTGTCACACCCCCTGGGCATCAGACCGAGGCTGCCACTCCTACTGTGCCGTCTCCGGGCATCCCAACATTTTGCTGCGTGGGAATGAGGTCTAAGTGTGTGGCTGGCTATCGTGTGCTACCTGTCCGCTAGGTTCACGAACATGACGCAGGCAGACATTTTGCTGGCATTGTTGGGCTCGGGGCATGCGCTGTCTCCGGTTTGCCCGGCTGATACTGTGTTACCGGTGCCGGTGTCCCGTTGGCGGGTCACAGAACGGTCAACGGAATGTAAGGTATCTGCCATCTCTCTGTAGCTTACCCCCTTGTTTGAAAGGTACCGGCGCACGGCGTTGTTGTCCCCTTTCTCCTTGGATACGGACCGGATAGGGGTTGGGCTTGTCACGGCAGTCCCTTCATGGGTTTTGCCTATCTTTGGAGGAAGGGGCTATTCTCGTTTGACGATCGCCGCTGGTGGCGGTGAAATATGGCTCGCAGGTCTTCGATGAACCCATTGTCTCTGGCCTCTGTTGCCGGCCTTTCCCCCCTCCCTGCTCTCGAAGTCAAGGCCGCATCCCTGACATGATTGAGGTCGCGATGGTTGGTGTCGCCAAACCGGCAAGACGGATCGTGCTATCGACGTTGAACTGGAGGGAGACCCCGACCGGTGAGTAGGCGACTCTCTTCCAGCAGGGGAGGATGCATGCCCAGCTGGCACTGCATGGGCAGAGCAACGCTATAAGACCGTGTGACCTCTTGAATACTGGTGCTAGCGCCAACAATCTATAACTTTCGTGTGTTGTTGTTAATTCCGGCTTCGTCAAGAAAGAGGGCGGTGAGTTCATAGTTCATGGGGGATGTGGATGGAAAGGACGTTGGTGATAGACAGTGTAGTCGGGCATGATGGCACGGTGATTCGGGGGTCTGTAGGCCGCTCGGTGGAACTGTTTGTTTGCTACCCATCAATCAATGGTGGCGACGATGACGATGTATATGTTTGTGTGTGTGTGTGTGTGTGGAGCTGGCCGGGTCGCGGTGTGTTGTTATTTTATGTTTTTGCGTGGCACGAGTGAAAGGGGGCCGCTTGATGGCGGCCATACAGGGGCCTCGGGCGGCCCGTTTAGGGTATCTGAAATTGTTTTTGATCAACTGGATGGGACAAGCTGAAAGGGGTCCGGAATGAAGAAGTTATTGCCTCGTTGAATTGCTGATCCTGTCGGTTGCTGAGAAATGATGGGTGGCTTGTCGTGTATAGGCTGGTGTGTCGGACTTGATAAATGATACTAACACGCACCGTCACCCGAGTGCGAGATGCCAGCCTTGGGGATTGACACGACGAGTCGAGCCTCTTGCATCTTTTGTTATGAACCAGAAAAGCATCAATTCGTAATGGTGCACATCTGTGATATTTTGCTGTATGAATGAGTTTCAAGAGACCAAGCAGGCCTCATAAGGTCAGTTTATCAAAGCTTCAAGCTGCGTGTGCGAGACATACAGACAGGCAATTGAGGGGAGGGTCCTGAGCGTTACATGAGCGGATCCTCACATATAGACTTGGTGGCTGTTTGCTGACGCTTTGTCTAGGATGTACAGCAAGTAACTTATGGAGCAACGCATCACTAGCAAATTAGTGCTGATCTCTGAACTTGTAGAGATGCAGAGGGCATGACTTATGCTGGAGTGAAGACATGCCATGGAGACACACCGGATGGCATGCACCATGCTTCGCGGAAAGAAGGCCGATAAAATCTCGACAGCCCTGTCGACAAACCAACACTCTCAGCACGTACAGTAGCTATTCGGATTCGGCAAATCACAGCAATGCGTAGGCAAAAACTTTCAACGAGTTCTTCCCATTCTCCCGCCGTAGGCAGAGCAGACAGCAGCCGAGCTGCGCCCAGGTGGTGGTGTACAGGGTCTACAAAAGAAAAAAACCAATGATCATGGGAACCAACCGAGGAGCGAATCTGTATCCCTCGGTCTATCCCTCTCCCTCTTCATCCTCATTGTTCCTGACCCGACATACGACAACAGGATCTCCGGGTGAGCCCCCATCGCCCTTGACGGAGATGAAGAACGAGGAGGCTGGATTTGCCACCCATTATGGCCGTCTATTCGAAGCTTCCGTGTATTCTTTTCCGTCGAGCTCGCTTCGCTCCCTTCTCTTCTATGTCACGCCCGCAATCCCCAATTCGCGAGACTGCGTCATGCCGATTGCAAAATAAAGGACTTTCCCTTCGCTCATCGCTAGCAAGAATGCGCTTAGTGGTGAGCGGCACCAGTCTCGCCGTGGTAGCCGACGAGCTTGAAGCGGCCGATCATCTCGCCAATGGTGAAGAAGCCGAGGCACTCGGCGGCGACGACACCGACGGTGATAAGTGTCGCCGTGTTGATGCCGCGGAGGCGCTGGGCAGCAGCAGCGGGCTGCTGAGCCGCGGACTGAGCAGCGGACTGGGCGGTCTGGGAGGCGGAGTTGAAGAGGGCGCCGGGGTTCTTGGCGGACTGGAGAGCGTTCTGGGCGTAGGACTGGAAGGTGGCGATGGGACTGTCAAGGAGTTCATGGTCAGATTCTTCGATCGCGTTCATGCTTCGGCTCATGACCTAATGGGCATGTCCTGGTCTCGCGAGCCATCAGGGAGCGAGCGCGCTTGAACTTACGGAGGAGCCATCTTCTGGCCGCGGAAGACAATCTTGGAGACCTCGAGGCCGACCTTGGAGTAGTAGACGACAAAGGGGACCTGCTTCTCGACGAAGGCGATGACACGGCCGGTGCGACCGCCGACCTTGCCGAGGGCGTTGGCGACGCCCTTGGCAGCGCCGGCGATGGCGGGGCCGGCAGAGCTGGAGACGCGGCTCAGGCCCTCAGAGGCCTTGGACTGGATGTTCGAGGCCTGCTCCTTGGCGGCGTCGGCGGCCTTCTGGGTGGTGGACGACTCGAAGCGGGCGGCGATGCGCGAAGGGAGGCGGGTGTTCCTCAGGGCGGCGGACCGCAGGACGGGACGGGCGGCGACGGCAGACATTGTGGTGGTAGGCGGCAGGAGAAGGAATCAACCGAGTGCAAGGGATCGGAAGGGCTTTCGTAACGGGATAAACGTTCGAAGGCGCGTTGGTCGGTGAAGGGGGCTCGGCGGGAGTGTCGCTGGCGGCCAATTGATGGAGATGGGCGTGGAGGTTGAGGTCGGGGGTGGTGAGGTGACGAGACGGGGCGAGCGAGGATTGGAAAAAAAGAGCTCGGAAGATTTCGCTTCAGGTTGTTCCATTGCGAGCCGGGCAAGTGGACCTCTCCCGCTCTCCTTCTCTGTCTGGTGAGTGGCTGGCACTGTGGCTCGGGCCGCTAACTGATTGGGGGAGCTAGGCACAGCCAATGAGAGGGTGCCAATTCAGTGTCGGCAAGACGGGGCCCAAGCTCCTTCCACGAAGTCAATGGCAGGAAGGAATAGCCAGGTACGTAGTTTCCTGTACCGCTGCCCTTTTCACAAGCTTCTGCTTCTCTCGGCAAGGTCGCAAGAAGCTTCTCTCGGCAAGGTCACAATGGCACACCGCATGCACCGTCACTGGGAGACATTCACTGAGTACATCTCACGAGATTCATCATGATATACAGAAGATTGTGGTATTCAACACCAGGAAAGCCAGTCATGCCGTCGTCACAGTCACCACCACTCAACACTTGCGCCAACCAACACCTCGATGCTAATCAGTTGCCTCCTTTGCTAGAGTATCCTTCTCTCACACCATCAATCACTCCAGGCTCTGGATCTGCACCTTGATGGCGCCCGTCTTGGGGTCCTTGGCCGTGTCGAATGCCTTGAGCGCATCCTCGAGGTTGAACCTGTGCGTGACCAGCTTGGTGAGGTCGATGACGCCGCTCTCGACGAGACGGATGGCGCGCGGCCACGTGTTGCAGTACCTGTACTGCAGCTGAATGTCAATCTCCTTCACGCTCGCGCGCATAAAGGGAATGTTGATCTCGTTCTTGCCGACACCAATGATGAAGACCTTGCCGCCAAACTTGCACGCCCAGATGGCCGCGGCGATGCTGCTCTCGACGCCCGTGCACTCGAGCGCGATGGCCGGCTCGACGCCGCCGAACGCCTGGACGATGGCCTTGGCCGAGTCCTCGGGCGTCGCACGCTCGACCTTGTGCGTGATGACCGAGGGGCAGAGCTCCTTGGCGAAAGCGAGGCGGCCCTCGTCAATGTCGGTGATGACGAGCGGCGTGGCGCCCGCGGCGCGGCAGCAGAGGAGCGTGATGAGGCCGATGGGACCGGCGCCGCAGATGAGGACGGGGTCGCCGAGGCGAACGCCAGCGCGCTGCATGCCGGCGAGGGCGACGCTCAGGGGCTCAAGCATGGCGCCGTTCTCGTACGACATGTCGCCGATCTTGTGGCACCAGACAGCGGGGTGGTTGACGTATCGCCTCAGCAGGCCGGGCACGGGAGGCGTCGAAAGGAACTCTACCTTCTCGCAGCCGTTGTAGCGCCCCGTGAGGCAGGGCTCGCAGGCGTTGCAGATGACGTTGGGCTCGATGGCGACGCGGTCGCCGACCTTGAGGTGCTCGACGCTGGGGTGCACTGCGATGACATCGCCGGCCGACTCGTGACCGAGAATGTGGTCGCCCTCGACAATCATGGGGCCGATGCAGCCATGGCACCAGAAGTGAATGTCGGAGCTGGTCGAGTCAGTCTTTTTTTCCCTGGGTTTGGCATCATTTTGATCCGACTGAAGATGGAATGCGTGCTGCGACTTTTGCCGCGTACTTGGGAAAAAAGAAAAACCCACCCGCAGATACCGGTGCTCCTGATGGCAACCGTCACCTCTCCAACGGCAAGTCCCTCGCCAGAGTTGACTTTCTCAAGAGAGGGCTCAGCCTCGTTGATCCACAGGTCGTGCTTGGGGTTTGTGAAGACGCCAATGTTGCCCTTAGACTGCTTGGCTGTGGCGCCGTTGGTGTGCCCGTTGGTACCGTTTGTCGCCGTCATGATCGCTTTGTGTTTCTGATCGTGACTTTCTTTTTTCTCCTTCGTCTTCGTCTCGATGGTGCCGATCGTGTGCTGCGTGACGGCGATGCGAACCGGACTTTCGGCCTTGGCTAGGAGGGTTTGCGATGAGATAGACGGGAGAAAGCGGCGGGAGGAGGGTTAGGTAGAGAAGCAGAGGAGCCCAGGGCTGATGAGGAGTTTGTAGGAAAGAGGTGAGGAGAAGCAGAGCTGAGCTGGCGCGATGCCGTGTGACGACGACCGAAGGAGGGGGAGGGTCAGATCTCTTGCTATATATTGGATGGGAAGGATTTGGTGACCCCTCCAACCCCTCGGTGGCCGTTTCGCCCCAACGCCGCCGACACGTCTCGTCTCGTCGTTCTCGGCGGCCATTCGCGGCGGTCCCATCGGGAATTCTCAGGACGCAGCAAAACACGGGCCAGGGTTCCCCACATCCAAAGGTCACGCAGGGTACGAAGCTTGTCAAGCTAGATGCGCTCGTAGGGGCGGAAATGGAACATGTGGGCGCGCACAAGGTGGGGGGAGGGGAGGGAAGAAGAGCAGCGCATAGTGGTACTGGCTCTCGACCTTCTTGGTGCGCTTCGGTCGCTGTAAGACCGATTCCCCTTTGCAAGCGTCGAGATGGCTCTGGCGCGCCAATCACGGCGATCACAGGCCATCGCCCCGACTGCCCCGAAAGTTGGGGGGCGCCATTGGCCCCGGCGCCGTGCCCAGTGAGACTCGGTCCTGAGGTGCCGCCCGGTGGGCCTCATCCTATCTGCTGCCACATTGAATTGGGTTTTTGGTCCGCTTGGTCGTCTGCTCATCTTCGGTTGCTATTTGTGCCCATCATTTTCCCTCGCCTCGGTCTGGCTAAAATGCAGCAAGCAGCCTGCTGTGCGGCTAAAGTGTCCATATGCGAAACCGCGTGAACGATGCCATGCGCATAGAACACACAGCTCTTCCTCGAGTGGGACGAACCCACATGGGCAGGCAATGCATACTGAGACCCCGCTTGTCCGGGTCTACCGACGTCAAGGTACTGACTTCCAAGCCTCGAGGCGGGGCTCCAGCTTTTATTCGTTGTAGACTATGTCAGATGCCGTCTGTTTCGCCATTCTCCTTGGCTTACATGTTCCTGTGCACAGCAAAAGACGAGGCGGCTCTTGTTGATTGGCGCCGGATGGCTTTCTGGTGCTGAAGCAGGTCATGGCGATCTTGGCTGTGGCTGGCAGGCGACAACCCTTTTCCCGTTGCAGTCCAAGTCCAGACTGCGACCCCCCGCGTTTTGACGAGACGCTGATGTTGGAATTGCGTAGGATCTGGTAAGGATCGTAGCTTCGAGCCTGCCCATCCCAGCCTCGGCAGTTGCCCTGGGTATTCGGAGATGCAAAGAGTGCACGAGCTCCGGGCGACGTGATGCGGACTACTGGAACTCGGGTTTGTGGCTTGTTCATGCATTGTCCATTGAATCTTTCCATTGAATCTTGAATCAAGGATGGATGGAGGCTGAGCGATGTTGGGGTTGGGGTTTGGGCTTTGGAGTGCCGAAGTTTCTCCCGACGCAAAAACATCGGGGCCTCGTCATGGTGGTGCGGTGCTCTGGCAGTCAATGGCCCGCCCACCCAACAGCCAGCCACTGGCTCGCCCAACAGTCCTGCCCAGGCCTCTGAGGAGGCAGGCACTCAGCAGCAGGCACCCTCAGGGGCCCAAGACACTGGCGGGTAGCGCCTAGAGGGAAGAATGCCCAGCGGCCGGGCTGGTCCCCTGCGCAAGCGCCATCCCTTGTCAGGTCAGGTCGGTCAGGAAACAATCGTCACTGGACCCTGACCCCGGACAGACATGGACCTGGGCCTCGACCTGGACCTCGACCTGGACCTCGACCTGGACCTCGACCCAAGCTTGGACCTGGACTGCAACTTGGACTCCAGCATTTCGACATCATCCTCGCTTCAACCTTGACGTCGCCGTTGCACCCTACCCGCGCACCCACCCGCACACCACCACGAACCCCTCGTCCCCGCAAGCAGACCCCTCTCGCGACGCTGAGGCCCGTCCTCCCGCAGCCTCGAACCCACGAATCCGACCCAATGCCTCGCTCGGCGCCAGCTGCACGCTAGCCTCCCTCTCTCCTCCTCTCTTCTGGCCTTTTCTTTTTTTTTCTTTTTTTTTATACCTAAATGCCCTCCTTCTTCCCCTTCACCCCGGGCCAGGAGTCTCGCGCCCGCTTCCAGCCCGAATCCTCCCCACTCCTCGGTCGCTTCCGAGCCGTTCCGCCTTCCACCGCCCGGAGACCCTCTCATGGCGCGCTAGGCCTGTTGTCTTCGGCCCTCGGGAACGGCCGAGGGAGCGTCCATGTCGGCTACGGCGCCGTCTTGGCGGCCGGCCTCGATGATGATGACGACGACGACGACGATGTGCAGGCGGCGCTTGATAACGCGCACAACGAGGGCAGGGGGTGGTGGAGGAGGCTATGGAGGAAGACGGTGGATGTTTGGATCGAGCCGAAACAGGGCGCCGTGAGGAGGGTGGTCGATGTTTGGTGGAGTCGATATGGTGTTTTGGTCGTGCTGCCGGCCGTCCTGGTACGTCCACGAGACGAGATATCGGAGAGGTGAAGCAAACTCTTGTTACAATGCTGACCACGTACAGGCCATCGGATGGTGTGCCCTTCCCTTCCCGCAGTATCCCCTCCTCGACGACGGCGATGGCAACGATCACCACGGCGGCGACGGCGTCCCCTCTGATGCACCCACGCGCAAGACACCCGGCCACGGCCAGCCTCGCGTGCGCGTCAACTTTTGGTTCTTCCTCTTCGTCTACTACAATTTCTACAACCTGACCGCCCTCATATGGATCACGAAAGTCTTCAACCTCTACAGCCTCAACTGGTGGCCCCAGTCTCTTGGCTTCCTGCCCACCGTCTCACTCATAGCCACCCTCGCCCTCGTACTCCCGATCCCCATCTACCTGCGCCCCGAGACGCGCTTCCTCACCGTCCACAACACCTCGTGGATCGCCTGGACCTTCATCGTCATGGCTGCCCCCGTCGCCATCGCCTTCCTCATCCTCACAACGTCCCAGCGCCACCACTTGGGCCTCCGTAACCGCATGTCCGACACGCAGCGCATCTTCACGACCTCTTGGTGGACCGGCGGCGACCTCGGCGGTGCCACCCCTCCTCGTCGCGTTCTAGCCGGCCCCGCCCCTGACGCGCGTGGCAGCCAGCAAGGGCCGCCGCGGGCGCAGACCCAGCAGCGTCAACACCAGCAGCCGCTGCTGCCCGTCTGCGAGCCGCTGGCTTCCCGCCAGCTTTGTGCGCTTCGTCTGGTTCTGTCTCGCGCTCCTCGTCGGCCTCATGGCGTACGTCATAGGAGAGGCGTACGCTGAGATATACCTCCGCACGCTGCCTCACGACAACCTCGAGACCATCATGTACGTCTACAGCTGGGTCGTCACCGTGCACCTGCTCGACCTGTTGACGGGCTGGCTGCTCGGCATACGCGAGGGCGAGCGCGTCGGGAGCTACCCGCTGAGCTGGATCTTCAAGCTGTGAGTTGTGTCCCCTGCCGCCCCCGCCCCCCCCTTGGGGAGAATCATTTGACAAACAGCCAGCTGACAGAAAGGCCGCGCAGCTACTTCATGCTCACGTATCAGACCTACGTGCGCGCCCTGTACGCGCGCCTGCGCTCCCCGCAGCAGTTCGTCCTCCTGCAGGTCCTCTCGAGCAGCTTCCTCATCCTCCTGACGCCGCTCACCATGTCGCCGCTCTGGCACCGCGTCTCGCGCGCCCTCAACTTCACCGACCAGTCCTACGCCTCGTACCAAAAGGTCTGCACCCGCAACGTCTTCATCCGCTTCCTCGCCGAGAACGTCTCCATGGCCGCCTTCCTCGGCAGCGTCCTCGTCCTCCACTTTGGCGCCAACAAGGACGTCTACCCCTACTTTGCCTTTGACTTTGACGACGACGACTCGGAGCGCTACGACTTTCGGCTCACCTTCTGGGCCTCGTCCGTCACCTGGGCCTGCGAGCTCGCCGCCTCGCTGTGCCTGCGCCTGCTCATCCGCTGGTGCTACGGCGTCGACGTTGGCAGGGAGGGCCGGCTCGACCTCGCCGTCTGGCCCGAGCTGCTCCCCACGAGCGTCGCCGTCATGCTGCACGTCCTGCAGAACATGCTCTTCTCCATCATCCGGTTGCAGTTTCAGCTGCAGTGATGGCGGAACGCCCGCTTGACGCATGGCCTATGTGAGCCGGTCCATGACCTTCGACAGACCGGCAGGCAGGCAGGCAGGCAGGCTGACACAGGCTGGAGTATGGCCTGCGTTACTTTCCATGGCGCTTGGGGGCTTCATGTCACCAGCGACCACGATAAAGAGCGGGATGGAGATGAAGAGGGTTGCCTCATTTGGGTCTGCATTGCTTTTTGGTCCCGTTGTTATGTGCTATCTGGTTCCCCCTTTTGCGTTTGTTGCGTACGATTCTTTTCTCTTTTTTTGGGGGGGGGCCGCTGTGGCCGTCTGTTGCATACTCAGGTCTAGAGGTACGGGAAGAGGAAGAGAAGAGGCGAAGAAAGAGTGATACCCCCTTCATGCGCGATGTTTCTAGCGAGCATAGTACACTGCAAAACTATCCAACTTTAATGACAAGACAGAAGAAATGCGCCATTCGTTTTAGTTCGCTTGACCTGATCCATGACTAATGCTTTCTGTCCTCTTCACGACCGTGATATCCAGCGCTGAACCTAGCACGTTCCTTTACTAAAGTACGGCGACGGAGTCTTGTGGGCTTGATCTGCAGCATGCGGGCTGGCGTCCAAGACGCGTTGTAACCTCGCAGGCGGATCTGGTCCACCTGCAAGCGTGCAACACAGTACAGAGAGGTAGGACCAGCGGACCAGTGGCCGAAGATGAGAGCCGGTTCGCGGGATTTCAGATTGCTAGTTTGCCGAATGGGATGGCTGCATAACGCCCTGCCTTTTAAGCCGGCCGACAGGAGCGACGCGGGCGGTAGACCTGAGTACCTCGAAGAGGCGGGCCCAGGCCTCGACACGATCGTGCTGATCGCACGCCTCTACTCCAGTCTCCTGCCTGGGATTCTCATTCGAGCCGCGTTCTGCTGCTTGAATATTCTCTCTCACTGCATTGACAACGCGTGTCGACTCGCAAACCTTTCACGCGAGCGCCCAATGAAGTTGAGTCGTGACAAAGGCGGTGAAAGTAGCCGAAAAGGTAGCTGGATAGCCACAGACCGCGGATCTAGCCTAGCGCTTGCTCGGTCTACCAAGGTAGTTAGCCAACATGCAATGACGGGAGATTTCCTGCTCCATAAGTGCTCCTCCCTTCTGGGACACTGGTGCCTGCACCTCGAGACTGATGTCGTGCTGAGGGTGATGCCAGTTGGATTCGAGAGTGAGAGCTGCTCCAGGTAAAGCCGGAGCGGACGACACAGAGTCGGAGTAGACCAGTTTCTGCTACCAGGGGGCATATTGGTGGCTAGCCGCTTCGTACTGCGCGTGTCGGCTTGTGGGCGATTTATGAGGAGGTTTGCCCCTACCCGAAGGGTCACGAAACGGTCGGCAACGGGTTCTATACGTAGGTGCGACACCGACCAAGTGATATCACTGAACAGTGGTGGATATAAGAGTGTTTGCAGACCAACTGGGCCAGCAGTGACGAAACAAGCTCACTGGTTCCAGACCGTCAGCGCCGCTATTTGACAAAGTAAATTGGCAGAAGGCTGTTTCGGACGATGTCAGCCAGAGGCCTGGAGACCGCAGACCGCGGGCGCCCACCGACGTGGGATTTGACCCCACCGAGGCACGAAGAGGGTGTGGTGAGGGCTGTACTGAGAGGATGGCCTCGTCATGTTATAGATGAGCGGTCAGAAACACGTCGCGACTCTGCGTGTCGGGACCAGCTCGGCGACGCGGGGGTCGGGATACCAAAGGCAACGTCTCGGGTCCGTGATTCGTAGTCGATGAACGAACGTAAATGTGGTATTGCTTTGTCTGATGCAAAGGACCCCACGCGGTTGATGAGAAGGGGATGCAACGCGTGAGCATACTGTGTAAGCTGCGGCGCAATGATCAGAGGTGTGCCCTTCAGTTCCGTCTGTTTGCATATCTCCGCCATCAAACATGTATTTGGGAGCTGTACTGCTGGTGGGGGATGGATACGCCCGGCCTGCCGACAACATGCCATTCATCATCGGAGTGTCGTGTCACTCCGTCTCGGATACGTCGGTATTAAATGCCGCTTGCCAGCAAGCACATTTGACTCATCGCCTGTCGTCCGGCGGCCATCTCGGCCTCGAGCTGGTGTTTCGAGTGCAGGTAGATGGGGCATGGTCGAACGAGCAATACGAGGATGATGAGCATCCAGAGGTTGCAATGATCGAACTTTGTGCATCTGCAACACGATGACGGCGTTGCTGGTGGCGTCTGGTGTGAAGGTGTTGTGGGGGGGCAAGGGCGGCACGAGTGAGTGCATGTGGTACCGCCTGCCTCACTGGCCCCGTCCGTAGCTCTCTGCTGGCAATATCCTTCCTGACAACAGTATTCTTGTCAGCCTTTCCTGCCTGAGCTGGCTAATTCCCTAGAAAGGTTAGAAAAAGCCTGGATGATGACGCCCAAAGCTTGTCGCTTTGAAAGCAACGATGGTTTAGCTAAGCCCGCAGGCAGGCGGTTAATCTGATTGTCGGACGCGCCCGCCAAAGTTGAATGCCCCATGCTCCAACAGACTTTCCAGTACCACAGATCCTCAACCCTTCCCAATCCTTCCCTCAGAGTTTCTTCCAGTCCTCCAACCGCTTTTGTACAATCCAGCTGCCCGGCTGCCGTCGGAGAGAAGAACAAATGCAGCATCACATCAGCCAGGCCTGCATTATGCCCGGCCGATTCGATTTGGTGCAACCTGCGGGCTGCCGCTGACGGAACTTGTCAAGCCATGTACGCCGCCGCCGGTTGCCGACATGTCTCGCCAGAGCACAATCTTGATGCAACGCATAGCATAACATAACGTGCTGGCTGGGACCCCGAACCCCTCCTCCCAAGGCAAACCCCCCCGACAACCCATCCACCCCTGCCGTACCGACCTAGATCCTTGTCAAGGTGGCTTGCTGATGCTGAGCTTCATTTGTACAGGATGGCGGCCTGGCAACATGGCATGGTGGGGTATTCCTTGTGTTTCTAGACACGTTCAGCCATCCACGCAACCGTACCTGTAGCCATGTCCAGATGGCTTGCGAGGCTTGCGAGGCTTGCGAGGCCTGCGAGGACGAGGCATGACTTCGATGCATCGCCGGTCGGGCCACGCAGGCAAACAACCACTGCTGGCATCGGCTTCTTGTCGGTCGGCTGCGTGACACGCAGTGCCTCTAGGCGTCCCGCCATGCCAATGGACGAGGGGGCTCGCTGCCTATCTGGACCACACCCACACAAACGTGCGCCAGACGGGCGTGGCATTGGCACTGTCAACACCCCATATCTAGAACCTGATCCTGAACCTGACCCTGGACGGACCCGTGCAGGCCGCGCGCTGGGAGAGACCGTGCTGGGCTTGGGCTCTGCCCTCCGACCCCTCCAACAATCAGGGCGCCCCTCCATGGATTCAAGCATCAAGCTTTCCCCTTCCCCTTGCCCCTCACCTGCAAGGTTGGAGACAATTCACGTTCGCACCAGATTGCGCGATTCAGAGACGAGTTTGGTTCTCCCAATTGCCCATCAGGAGCGACAGGAAATCGCCTGATAAAAGCCGCCGAGACGAGAAGAACACCGACAAAGAAAACTAGTTAGACCGACGTTCCTTGTCCTTGTCATCGAACGCCTCGCCTTGTCCTCCTGCGTGTTGTCCATCTAGGCCTTATCCTACCCCTCCTCCACTTGCCTTTTCGGCTCGTCTTCCGTCCCTCGCCGGCGCAACTCTGGTTTGCATTTTGCGCTGCTCACTCGCTGACCCCAGGCTCGCCGGCCGGTGGTCTGCGCCATCACGCAGCCTGCTTTCGTGCTTTGCCCTGTTCAGTCAGTCAGTCCGTCCCGTCTGGCTCATCTCCTCACAGCCTAGGGAGACGGGACAATTTTACGCGCCTTGTTCCTCCCACGCACAGGCGACCGTGTCGTGGCCATACACTATCCAGCAATAAGGCAAAAAGCCGGGCCAAGGACTACCCTGTTGCCCTGGCTCTGCCTAACGGTAATCCCGCCGCCCGCCCGCCTGCCGTCGAACTGACCTTACACCCGCTGGCCGCGCAGCACCACCACCACCGGCTCTGATGTCCCACACCCACCCACCCCAGACCCCAAAATTTTCTCTCTGATACAAACCCATATCGGCCCAGTCATCCCTCCTCCTGCCTACTTTTCCCCTCGTCCTCCTCTCCTCCTCTCTCCTTCCTTTTTCATCTCTTCCCCTCATATGCGGTCCAAACAGAATTCACTCCTAGGCACGACACGGAAATCTACGTCATCAGTCAACTTCGGAGCCTACAAGCCTCTTAATCCTTAACATTGACAAGGAAGTCATTCCGACGCGGCCACTGCCGATGCCTAAGAC